ATTTCAACTTCCTGTTTATGCGTGCGTCTGTCCCTTCCAAATTTCGTCGCATTTTTCTCAGCAACTACTCATCGCAGTTCACATGAGAGCAGGGGTATTGCTGATGAGCATTGGCTCACAGATTTCTTCTTCTTTATCTCGTTGTAAGGCAGACAATATGGTCTGCGTTATAGAACATGATACTCCTTTGTACAATAGGATTTTCAGATTTAATGCCAGTGCGGAAACCCAAAGACGCCGACATTTTTTATGCTCACGTAATCGAAGATTCGGGGGCATACAGTTTTTGTCCTGTCCGTATGTCTATTTGTCTGTTTGTCTATTAGTCTGTTTGTCCGCAACTGTTTGTTCCCAAAAACTTTAACTTTGCCCATAACTTTTGATTGGTTGGAACTATGGCTTTCATTTTTCATATGTGTATTCCTTGTAACAAGACCTTTTTGAGGTACCAACATATTTGACCTCTTGACCTTGGAGTTTGATCTACTTTTCAAAGTTTTACAAAACTTTAACCTTGGCCATAACTTTTGAACAGTTGGTGCTAGGGCTTTCATACTTCAAATCTGAATTCCTTGTGGTAAGACCTTTCCTTGGGTATAAATACTTTGACAATTTGACAGTGACCTTGGAGTTTGACCGACTTAGATATCTTAAAAGTGTAGAGAAGATGACATGGTCATCATGCACATACATGCACGTGCGCGCGCATGCAATGCGTTTAATGAAAATAACATTCATATTATTGATAAAATGCTTTGATACTCAGAATATAAAGACATATTGAAAGTGAAGACAAGATGATACGGTCATCAAGCACATGCATGCGCGTGCAATAAGTGAAATGACTTGTATGATTGATATAGCCTTAACTTTTATATTTTCTGATGACATGCTTTGTTACTCAGAATTTATAGATATATTAAAATTGTAAACAAGATGACATGGTCATCATGCACATGCATGCACGAGGGCGCGCAGGCAATGCGTAAAATGACAAATGTACTTGATATAGCCGTCTCTTTTGTATTTTTTATGAAATGCTTTGATACTCAGAATATAAAAGTGTATTAAAAGTGTAGACACGTGGACATGGTCGACGTGCAAATGCTTGCACGTGCGCCCGCGTATAATGCGTAAAACGGCCAATATACTTGAAGCTTTAAAGGGAGTTTGGGAGCATTTTTGGGAACATCTGTAACAATCCCCGTTAATATTAAAACTAGCCTTGGTTTGAATCTGGACTGTTCCAGGACGTGTAGAAACTACATTTCGTGTCAGCAACTCTCTTGAGCTTTTTGAGTTATGTCATACTGATAATTAATACATACCGTATAAACCGTTTTCTGGATAATACTTTATCAAGCACATATTTTACAAACATTTTTTGAGTATTTTCTGATAAGCACAAGAGATTTCTCAAACACAATACATTTTTTTCACTAACGCGGCTGAGAAATGTTCCGACTGAAACAGTCTGAAACACTTCAGCCAAGGGCTAAAAATGACATGTGGATGACAAATCAGCGGGAAAGGAATTCAATTCAAAAAAGTTCTTAATTCATATATAACAAACCTAGAGACGTAAAGGCTGTTATTCGGAGGGGGGGGGCTAAATAAAACAAGAGGCCCATGGGCAACATCGATCATTCGAGCACATTGGCTAGGAAAAAAACAGAAATCAGTTAAGTATTTAAAAGATTAAATATATAAGTGATCACAAACAACGCCCCCCCCCCTCCTCTCAGTAGAAAAGGGGGGATGATTTGTTCACACTTTAATCTACACTAACTGAGGATGCTTCCATATTTCTTTGACTAATCATGGCTTTCGAAGATTTTTTTTATCTATGTTTGATCTTCTATTGTGACCCCACCCTACCCCCGGTGAACATGATTTGAAAAAACTTGAATCAACACTGCATGAGGATGCGTCTGAATTAATACGACTAATGATGGATTTGCTATTCTTGAGGAAGAAGATATTTTACGATTTATCCTATGTGTTCCCATGTAAAACTTTGATCACCAATTGTGTCCCCTCCCTAACCCCAGGGATCATAATTTGAACAAATTTGAATTTACACTACCTGAGGATGCTTCCATATAAATATGTTTAATCATGGTTTTGCTGTTCTTGAGAACAAATTTTTTAAAGATTGTTCCTATATATTTCTAATGTAAAATTTTGTTCGCTCATTGTGTCCCCACCCTAATCCAGGTCATTATTTAAACAAACTTGAATCTACACTATCTAAGGATGCTTCGATATAAATATCACTAATCATGGCTTTAATTTTCTTGAGAAGAAGCTTTTTAAAGATTTTTCCTATGTTTTCCTATGTAAAACGTTGATCGCCCATTGTGGACCCACCTACCCCTTGAATCTACACTATGTCAGGAAGCTTTCACATAAGTTTCGTCTTTTCTGGCCGAGTGGTTCTTGAGAAGAAGATTTTTAAATGACCCCACCCCATTTTTACTTTTCTTAATTATCTCCCCTTGGAAGACGGTGTGGCCCTTCATTTGAACAAACTTGAATCCCCTTTACCAAAGGATACTCTGTGCCAAGTTTGGTTTAAATTGGCTCAGTGGTTCTAGAGAAGAAGATGAAATTGTAAAAAGTTTACGACAACAACAACAACGACAACGACAGACAACGGACAAAACTCAGGTGAGCTAAACAGAAAATACCAATCATTGATATGAAAACCATACAAAAATTGCAAAATCCATCATATCTTTAGTTTTTTTTTCCCATCATTTAGTAGCAATATATTTCCAAAATATACATTTAATTAGTTCACAAATTAAAAAGCATGTTAGGTTAAAAGGTTTTTTGATCTGTATATATTAGACTACATGTAAATACAGAAGACACAAAGCGATAATTGTTTTGTTATTTATTAGAGGTTGTGCATGCGATAACAGAAGAAAACGCAATTAGTTAAAAGTCAACTTTCATTTGTTTGTTTGTGTGTTGTTTAACGTCTCTCGAGAGAGAATGTTTCACTCACATGGAGACGCCACCACTTGCCGGTGGAGAGCTGTAAATTGTTACCTATGCTCGGCACTTAGGGCCATTGAGCAATAAGGGAACTTTTTCGTGCCAGGACCTACTGCGACACGGGACCTCGGTTTATACGGTCTCATCCGAAGGACCGGTCTCCATGTTCCACTGTGGGATTCGAACCCGCGACGTAAGGATCAACTCCTTACTCGCAACTCTAGAGCAGATGCTCTTACCACTGCGTCAGGCGGGCGACGTCAACTTTCGTACCACAGGAACTAATCACTTCAATCAAAATTTTAATTTTCAATGAATTACAAGGTTTTCTATTAATTAATGAAGAAAAAAGAAATAAAAATTCATTGAAAGCTTTTATTTCAAATGTGCAATGTTTGCCCAGATGCATTGACGTTATTCAGAATTTCAAAGAATTTTAATGCCGGTATATCTAATTAATAGGGATGTGAAATCGGTCAAAATTTGATAATCGGTTACTCGGACGATTTTCCGATCGAGTACCCGGGTACTCGGAAAAAGTGTGCATTCATGTAAAAGTTTGTTGATTTATAGACCTGTATATCCCATCGATGTTTCCTTTCGTTTATAATGCATGTCCATAATCATCGAGCTCAACGAAAATAATTTTTGGTACTTAATTTATGTATCAAACAAACACAAAAGACATGATCAATTAATACACCAATGACTACAAAATTAATGCTTTACAGTTCTCGTTTAGGAAGACATTTTGATCAACGGAAGAGGACGTAACTTCGTAGTTATTTGACTAGCGAAAGAGAACACCGTTGTAGTGATCGCGAGTCGTATATTATTACCGGTTACATTTGCAAATGTTTTCTTTGTGATAACCCTGAAAGTTAAGTATGACGATTTCTTGTTATATTATTTAGAACTTCACCCGTCATGCACAAATTATCCCAAGTTTCAAACTGCCGTTGATGCTTTGGCATACCCAACAAACTACACAGTGATTCCTTAAATATATGGTTGTTTCTCCTCGTATACGCTAAATTTACAATGCACAACTGACTTTTTACATTTTTTTAATCTTCGGTTATTTTTTAATATTTCTTCACTTTTGAATTGGTAGCGGTATTTCTACGTATGTCCAATATCGCTACTGTATGCTAATTAAATAATCTAAGGATAATTAATGGATTTAATTAAACGATTGAAACATTGAAATCAAATAATTGAAGCCATCCAAAAATTAGGGTCACAAGAGGTGAGGACAGCTGTGTACAGTGTCAAGTGATTGGTCACGGTAATTACTGTATATACATGTACACAGCCACAGGCGATAACGGGTATTAACTGGAGAAAGTAACGCTAATTACGTGTATAGACATGGGCAGTGCATATTTGAATAAAAGTTTTCAATAAATATATGCACTTTGAAATATGAAAAAATATACATCCGAGTAACCGAGTACTGATTTTAGTATTCGATACTCGGACGTTCGATCGAGTACCCGGTTAAGCGGGTACGCGTTGACATCCCTACTAATTAATTAATTTTATAAGAATAAATTTATCAAGAAGCTGAACTCGCACAATTTTATCTAGGCAACATTTTTGTCTCCATTAACACATATTATATATCTATATATATCTATATCTATATCTATTTATATATATATACCACAATTAAGACTGAACTAAATCTAAGAATATAGAGACACATTTCCAAAACAATAACACAATGATTTTACCATATCTTAAATCTTTCAATTACGGAAATAAACTGTAGTTAAATCCTTATAACCAAATGAGCGGAATATTTCATTCGTAAAAGATATTCATGTAAATCAATGTGTAATGTTCATATTGAGTCTAATTTGAACATAAAGCGGCGATTTTTCAATGATGAATAGGATGTAAATAATAAGAATATGCACTATACCTAATATAAGTTATCATTTTAATCTTTTTTATCAATGCAAAAAGTAAAAGAAGCAATAAATAGTGTCTTCTTATAAATGTGAAAGTAAAACAAAATGATTCAGGAGAGATTAGAATTCAAATACATACACGGATGTGTAAAGTATTTCTAAAGGGTGACACTATTTCAACAGCCTGTTTATGGTGATATGGAGGCAATCTTAGTGCTGAATGTGTTCATAATCATTTTAGTTTGGCCTAGATAATCTTAATTGAATTTCAGAGAAAATTCGAGACGACGAAAAATTGATCTATTTACTCAAGCTACAATACTCTTCATTACATGATTAAGTAAACATAAGCTTCAGATATGAGTGGTTTTCAGCAAGTTACATGATATTTAAAGCACATGTTTAAACTTGAATTTCATCCATGCGTCAATATTACAAAGATCTGGCATTGTATAAAATTATTAAGAGTACCTCCATTCTTTATTGAAAAAAATCTGTTCCAATAATTGGGCTATAGAGAATGATAGAGTTTTGGGGTTTTTTTCTGAATCATACACTTTCTATTATCACATCAGTAATAACATACTTTCAATATCTGTAACTTTCTAATTTCTGCTGAATAACATGCAATGGCAATAAATAGTATTAAAGTTCATATTCTTATAATCATAACCGAAGAATACTAGTACTACAGTATATGCTTTGAGTTTAAATTCTATTATTCTTAGAAATAAAGCATTTTCTTTTGTATTCATCACATCCTTTATAGATTTTCCGTAAATCCAGGTGATTTTATAAAACCATAAATCCTCATTTATCAAATGCCACTGAATAAAACATATATTCCCAATTTTTTCATAAATAGATAAAATATAGTTGATTTAGAATTAAAAAAAATGTCTATTAATGAGAAAACATGTGCATCTGACTGTAAGAAAACAATTTAGATTTAACGAAAAAGATACCAAAATTCAACACTATATGAATTTAAAGCTCATTGCGTCGAAATCACCATCTCTGGGGCGAGCAAAGACACTTTGTTCCAATGTTTTCTTGCGTTCTGATTCTCTTTTCTTCGACTTTTGTTGAACATCGTTAACATCACAATCCACTGCATTCGTCTGATATTTGGCTTCATTGGACTAATGAAATGTAATAAGTACATTGCTCAATTAAGAAGTAAGTACATTACACAAATTCTTTCTACGAAATATGAAGATAACGAACAGTAATCAAGTTCGAAGTCCATTGGAATAATACAAATTTGAAGGAGAGCAAACACTGACCCCTAGAAACATCAGAGGTGGGATCAGGTGCCATGGAAGAGTAAGCATCCCCTATCGACCGGTCGACCTTGTCATGATCGGGCAAACGGAAAAATCCGTAGACAATTCAGTGTGCAAATAGCCAAGTAATTTGTACTAAAACGTCAGTCAATATTCGACTTTACGATATATAGTATTTGCTAACAAGGTCATTGTATCGACCAAAAAATTTGCGAAATGTTGACTTTTAACGGAACTGTTGAAATCCTTGTATCATCAACCTGTTTGTCAATAGCTCGCCTCGAATTAGAAATTCGTACGTAGAGCATGCTTTGCGTATCTAATCAACTCCATATGCAGGTGGTAATTGCTACATAAATAAGGGAAGCTGACGAAAGAAAAATTGAAGTCATCACATTTATCATTACGTTTTGTTGTTAGGCATTAATGTCTTTTTTCTAGTAAAATATGCAATATAATATGTTTCAAAATATGAAACAGATGTGTCAGACTTCGTAGTGTCCTTTATCTCGAGTTCAAAGGGATATATCCAATCAACGTAAGAATGAAAATGAATATTGTCAATTTATAAAACGTCGTCGATATATCTAAATGTCGAACTGAAGGCCACAGCAAGAGACTTCTTCATTTCATATAAAAGTTTTTGAAGAAATTCTGCTTCACATGAATACAAAATAAATCTACTTATATATATATTTATATATATTGTCTTTCTCTGACATATTTTCTATTTATCAATAAAAAGCTGCATTATGACTACTTTATTCAGATTTTTATTGATAAATAGAAAATATGTCAGAAAGACAACATATATATATATATATATATATATATATATATATATATATATATATATATATATATATATATATATATATATATATGATATATATATTATGAGAGAGAGAGAGAAAAAAAACGTGCTATACCCCATTCTTCATCAAACTGTGTAAAGAACTGCTTATTAACTGTAAGAAACCATAAGCTTCAGCACCATCTTGCAACAGGGTCTGATGAACATTTGCTGTGTAGATAAAAATAGTCACACATTATCTACAGTAGTGATATTTTCTTCGTAAAATAATTTCGTAAAAATACCGGTAATCATAAGTACCGTGTTCAGATTTGCTGCTTCAAAACAAGAGTACTTTGTAGCATTTTTATAGAAGACAAATCTTAGGAAAATTCCCATGTAATTATACTATATGTAGTATATGTACAATCTTTTCCAGTCAGTTTTGTTTTCTGAATACTTAAACATGTATATGTACCACTGAAGTTGTACTGATAATGTAGGAAATTTCTAAAACCTCTACCTTGTTCTGAGACATGTCTGTCCTCCTTTTTTTCTCTGAAGATAATTCCAAATAAGTCCTTGATAACTTTGCCGATGAAATGTTTGATTCCGAGTTTTTCGTACTCCATGTTAAGTGTTTGTTTGACCTCATTAATGCTTTTATTTAAAATGGCAGCAAAAATTGTTATCAATGTCATAATAACACAAAACATGTATGAAAAGTAAAAGAGTTCGGCAAAGGTCGGGACGGCAGTAACCATTGATTTTACATTATTCTTCCCGATGAAACTGTTCGCAAGAGTACCACAAGTACTAAAAAAGTCTTTATACTCTTTGAGTTTCACTCCAAACAGCAATGTTCCTAACGTGGCAAAAATAATGTAAATGAGGATAAAAAGAAAACCAAATCCTCCTATGTTTCCCTTGGCATTGACAACAACCGATATTATCTGTGTGAATCTCTTATTGTATCCTAAAATCTTCAGGAGTTGGATGGTTGACAAAAAAACAATGATCGCAAAGAATGCATTAAAAACATTGTCCCAAATTACGATATGATTAAAATTGATAAATTCATCATTTATCTTTAAGCTTAATTTGTTGTCGTAAAATTCCTTCATAGTCTGCTTGGCAAATGTCACTCTTACAATATACACTGCGACACAAGCATAACTGAGAAAAATATTAAGTATTATTACCAAGTTCCATGGCTGCTTGATGAAACTTAAGAAACCATGTCCCTTTACTTTGAAGAAGACGTTTATGGTTGTTATCACAAGGTATGAAAGAAAAATCAAGTAGCATAAGATGGTAAAACTTCCAACCATATCCGCAGATACTATAGGACGGAATGCTTGTGTCTCAGTCCATTTCATAATTCCACCAATCTCTATAAATTCTGCTAAATATATAGCGTGAATAAAGAGGTTTCTATTTGGATTATATAAGGTGAATTCCAAGAAAACAGCGCGAGTATTACGATCGATCCAGTTCTTTTCAACTATTTCCTTAACTAAATCTTTAGCACGATCATAATTTTTTGTAAAGCGCATGATGTATCCTCCTCCATCGTATGTTCCATATTCTCCAGATTTTGCTATTCCCCATATATTTTCAGCATCAGTGTATTTCCAAGCACCTGCTGTATAATATGTTCCAATTCTGTTTGTCTCTTTTCCACATTTTGAGTCATACGGTTTCCATTCAAAGCAGTACTCAGCAGTATCTGCATATTTATCAGAATATTCATGAATGCAGGGATATGGCCATGTTATTCGTGTAAACGGACACGAGGCTGAAAAAGAATCATTTTCATCGATTCAACAAAAGTCACATTCAACATTTGTGATTGAAACAAGAGGCCCAAGGGCCTTAACAGTCACCTGAGAATAATACAACCCTGTAAAGGATCCAGTGAAGTATATAATAGAACAAAATAAACTAATAGATAAAGATATCTTGCCCAAAAATAAGAAAAATACCTAAGGATGATCTAGGATCAACAAAAAGTTTGTCCAGTACTCAGCAACAACTCTTAAAGTATATCTTTTTACTTATCTGAACTTTTCAGTGCTACAACTTCCTTTGTAACTATAAACATACTAAACAACACAATAGTGCTTTAACGTAAAATAGTATACACATAGGAAACCCACACAATCCAGCTCACATTGGTTTCTCTTGATCTTTGAATAATATTTTACGTATAAATATAAAGAATATTTTTGTCTCATTTTTATTTATCTTATTATTTACAAGACTAACTGACTATTAATAACTATCTTTCAATACTTTTTGTTTTATACATTTAAAAAAAATGTATTTTTTTAAACAATATTTCCAGTGATTATTCCTCATAGGTAAATAACTTCTCTCAAAGTAGAGAAAAAAATTCACAAGATCAATAGAGTCCAGCCCAGAACCAGAATCCTTGACCCAGTGGTCAAGAATATCACAATGGTGGTAAAGTCACCCTCGCTAATAACAACTTTGTACTTTTCCTCCTAGACGCCCAGGAGCAGAGAAAAAAATTTTCAAAGAATTTTTGCATTTTCACTATATAATCAATAGAGCCCTGCCATCACACCAAAACTCCTGACCCAGGGGTCCATGAATTTCATAATTTTGAAAGAGGTACCCTTGCACTTCACAACCATGCACTTAGTTTGTCTGCTAAATATCCAGCAGCAGAAAAGAAAAAAATTTAAAGAATTAATGCACTTCTACCTTATAATCAATATATACCCCATAAATACAAAAACCCCTGACCCTGGGGCCAAAAATTTCACAATTTTGGTAGAGGGATCAATGCTTATAACAATCATGCCAACCGTTTGACTATTTGATGTACAGGAGTAAAGAAGAGAAGAATTTTAAAGAATGCTTGAATTATGATTTTAGCCCCAATCCTCAGACCGCTAAGCATGGACCATGAAATTCACAATTTTTGTTCCCCTTTATCCATAGATGCTATATGCCAAAATTGGTTGAAATTGGTTCAGTGGTTTTAGAGAAACAGCTGAAAATGTTCAAAAGTTCACAACCGACACACGTTGCCAGACAAAAACAGATAGCGGTAGTTCACCCAAAGTGACTAAGGTGATCTAAAAAAAACATACAAACATATTCTCTGCCTTATTTTAAACCATTTTAAAAATTGAAATCTCGGATGTATCTTATTTATCTAAACCATGTTTGTGAATATTTTTGAAAACTTCATATCTGCACTTTTAAAATTCTTATCATCTCCATGTTGATATTCAGCAACACGAATTCACATTTCATGATTAATTAAAAGCACGGTTTTTGAGTCTTTGTGTCATTATTATTGGCTTGCCTCTCTCTGTCCTTAATTGACGAAGTTGAGCTGGTCCAATACGGATACTTGCCCTGTCCTTGAACCGTTGTTGGTCTATCACTCCTAATTCGTCACCGGCATAGTTAGTTAATGGGTAAAAAGTAGGTATAAATGTTTTATACAGCCAATTGATGTAATCCTCTGTTCGATTTATCTGCAATAAAAAAAATGAACATTTATACTTTTCAAATTCTTGTATTAAAAAATTCTATTTCTCATTCAAATCTCTTTTTTCATGAATGGTTCTAAATAGTTAACAATTTGAAAACAAATCGTTTAATTTCATTTAAATTAAAATTTTTTTTTTACAGTAATCTTTTTAAATTCCAATGTTATACATGTATAACTGATGATGGACTTCCTTAGTTATTGCATTGTCAAAATTTGGAGTATTATCCATTTACTAATATTTCTCAAAAGCATTAACCTACATACATCTATACGACTAAGGGAATCTTTTTTCTGAAAACCTCTCTCTCTTTATCTATGTAAAATTCTGAGGAAAATGCTGGTGTTTTTCAGGTTTATAAATTTTGCTTAGTTGTGATACAATGCTTTATAAACTCATATTTTTAAAAAAGAAGTCCTTTGGCATAATCATCATCATAACATTGAATTCTTGTTTGAACAAACGGCAACCCAATTTGTTTACATACAGAAGAAAATCCTAGTTGTTCGTTGCCACTTGAATAAAGGAAGCTATCTATGTTGGATTTATAATGGAATGAATCGAAGTCCCTCTCCAAAAAACTTATGGAATAAAGTCCAAATAAATATACTGCAAATATTATTAATTTAGTCAACGCCTTCTTTGCCCTCTTTTCTTCTTGTCTTTTTGCTTTAAGTTGTTCAAGTTCGTCTTGGGTCAGTTGATCTGGTCCTCTCAGAATGTTACTTGCAAATGCTTCAAATAACAGAGCATTCCTTTAGAAGTATATTTCTATGACGACTCGTGTTCAATAAAGCTTTTTAAATTTTTAATTTACTTAATGTTGGATTCTTTGTAATTTTATTTAAAAATTACCTGCTAATCGATGCTTATCCGAGTTTTTAAAGTGAGTCGAAAAATTCTTCAGCTGATCTATGTCCACCTCCGCAGTCTTTTCGTAAATTATAGCTTTGAATACGGTGGCAAATAATACCGCAACAAATAAGACCTGAAATTGACAGAAAAACGTTCTTAAAAAGCACACATAATGTTTCAAATGAGGCGGTGTACAAAATTTCAAAATCTCTAGATGTGTAAAATTAGATCTAGACATCATCTGATGATATAAAACATTCTCATTCAAATTTGTTTTCAAAATGTGGTACTAACGACCTTTTTAAAGTCATGAAACATTTTGCTTTTACATGTAAGATCCATAACTGAAAAGATTTGATGATTGTAAGCATTACTGTGTGCAAAATTTGATTCAAAAACACAGATTATTGAAATGTGTATTGGGAATAAATTCTCGCTCTTAATATATTTTATTTTGGTGGTTACAAAACTTCACAAAAATATTCAGCGAAGGACAGTTTAAAATGAAACAAGAAAGATAACAGGCAGATAGATCACTGACATAGTGGTAACGTCATGCACATAAATACAGTATCTGAATGGAAATGTGTTAAAAATGCCTTTTAAAATGAACAAAAAGTTATCAAAATTAGAAAGGTTGTTGCTTTATTTTTACCTTAATGGGGTCCACAAACAAAATCGACTCAAAAAAGGATAAGAAAAAGGACATGAGCCATTCTTCAGATTTGGCTTTTCCCCATTCCATACTGTAAAGCAAAAGGAAGAACGCCGAGACCAGAACTATCACCGACAGAATCATCCAGGCAACGTAAAGTATCCAGTGTGGTAGGGACTTTTCGTGTTCTTTGATATATTTCGACGGAATTCTAAACGATTGAGTTGTAGAGATCTCTTTCTTGTCTTTACTGGCTTCAGTTTCAGTTTTATTGGCCTTTAATCGTCTGTTTCGGAAGAGAATTGTTAAAAATAGTATTGGAAATGTAGTTAAAACGATTCCGATCAAAGATACAAATAGTGCTGAAACTGACAATCTGAACACCCCTATCTGCACATAGTCGTAAGTTGCTTCTTCTTCGGCAGATTTGTAATACATTGCATTGGAAATCATGCTTAAAAAAAGCAACGCAAGTACGCAAGAAAGCCTCTGTACCCGAGTAAATCTACTCTTTCTTGGTCGAAATAGAAGTGATAACCAGAGATGGTGATCGGTGATATTTAGTTGTGTTTGATGTGCAACCAGAGTTTTAAAGGCCATCAAAGATTCCACTGTCGACACGGGGAGAACACGTTCAATGAGTCCATCTTCCTGATCTAACGATAGCCAATTATCACATAGGAATATAGACCTGAATAAAAAATGACTCTTAACATAGGTCATCTCATGTTAACCTCTCTCTTTCTCTCTCTCTCTCTCTCTCTCTCTCTCTCTCTCTATATATATATATATATCTATCTATCTATATCTATACATATTAAGGTTGTTCTCTAAATTAAACATTCACAAAAAGAACTCTGAATGAAGTGTATATCCATGCTTTTTTTGCCACGGTAAAATATATCGTATATCGAATAGAAATCGGACATAAATGTTTGTTAAAAACATGCTCTATCCATGTAATTTATCACATCTCCCAGATTAAATATATAAACATTGGTATATAATGTATATATAATGTTTCCTGAAGTTTTTCTTTAAATTGAATCATTCCAATGATGGCATTTGAAATGAAAAATCCAAATTGTACCGTTCATTCGTTTGTAGATCATCTATTTCTATTTTACTAAGGAACCAGTCCTGACGAGGTCCTTGCCCTGAACAGTCATGCCATATTCTAAAGTACTCAAGGTCACCTAAACTGTGTTTCGTTCCAAACACAAACGTAACGATGCTACCAGAAGGAAGTCCCTGAAATAGTTTAGTCAGAGCTGATCAAAATTTGTTCACTAGTTTGGTAAAAAAGAAGTAAATTTATATGCGATGTGCTTAATATCTAAAGTTTTAAATATTAATTATTGCACAAAAGTATTCATAAGTTGATAACCTTGAAGTTTTATATGGAGCTGCCTTGAATAGGGAATATTCACCTTCCAATTCAAATTACTTTATATGACTTGTTCTCAATATAGTGTTGTGCAAATTAAACTCCGAATTTATTTTAGACCTCTGTGTGTTACTTTCTTGATCTGGCATGAAGCCTTGACCTCTATCTTGAATTGCAATGAAATATTAAATTGATAAGGTCATACTGAATTAGTTGAGGCACACTTCCGAAAAACCCCACTCTTCACTCTCCCTTCTTTAGATCAAAAAGTCGAAATATTTTTTTTTATTTCGGTTTGAGTAAAAAGGTAATTTTGCTAACTTATTTTCCTTCTTTTTATCCTCACGTGATCGCTTTCACTTTTTACCTTTCTTTCACCATCGCTTAACATACGTATTCCGCTCTCGTCTTCGGATCCACTGAGTACAAAATGAATATTAGAAGTTGTCCCTGCCCGCCGTCTCAGTCCAGTATACACAGTTATCATATAGAAGTAGCAGTCCTCGGAATCATGGTCACATAGGAAGGCGATTGCCCACTACAATTCACATAGTATAACATTAAAACAACATACATATTTCCATCATCTTTTGTTTTTTGATTTTATGTATTTTCCAAATCTAGTAAATAATATTTCTGCAGTAACAAATCTTAACATCAATAAAAATACAGATTTTATTTGAAATTTTTTTATGTACAGAGAAAAATTAAAAAGGCTTGTGGAATTTTCTCTTTTTAATACATGTAAATTGTTTCTTAAACTATGTTGAACTAAGTCTTAAAGGAAGCATTTAATATAATATTGAAAAGAAAAAACATATCACCCGTTCAATATCTTTCTTATCTTCTCGTCTTAAAATTAGAGCCAATAGGAGATAGATAACTAGAACTGCAATCATTGCTCCATAAACCGAGGCATTTGCTGGATTAAACTTTCCCCATACTTTATACAAGTCTATCATGTTGGGTGGAACGTAGAAGGTTGTTGAAAAGATGTGCCCAGTGCAGCGGCATACCGTTTCGCCCACCGTTGTCATTGAAAGAACCTTTAAAACAGTGTTATTAATAATAATGAAGAATTAGTAGTATTATTTGCAAAGGTCTATGTCTATTGAAAACCTCCGTTTAGATGAAAAGCATTATTATCAAGCATTTCTTTACGAGGTGAGTTCGTTGCTCTTTGTAAGAAAATTGCTTTAAGTATATCTGCTTCTTGTGATCGGTTGAGACTAATCACAGTTAATTACATATTTTAAAACAACTTTTGGAAGGGAAAATTATGTAGTACTTGATATGCCTAAATATTTACGTTCAATTTTAGCACAATTTAGATGTGGCATTTTACCACTACGAATAGAAACCGGTAGATATCATGGGGAACCTGTTGAGGATCGAATTTGCACCTTTTGCTCTAAAAATAATGTAGAAGACGAAATTCATTTTTTATTGCATTGTCCTATGTACTCTGAATATCGTTCAAAACTTTTTGAAAACACTGGTCTTAATCAAATGGCATGGTCAGATATGGATTTACTAAGTATACTTGTTTCAAATTATCCTCGACAGGTTGCAAAATATTTATATTTTTCATTTATGCGGAGACAGTCCGTTATCTTCAGAAAATAAGAATGTATTTCAGTGTCATATTTATCTACTAATAACAGACACTACCAATCTTAGCATACAAAGTACATATATGTATATATATCAAAATTATGTTTATTTACTTTTTTGTTTATCCCTTAACGTTGTGCTCTTTATTTTCTTTATATATTGTATTTCAATTTTGTGTTTAAAGTGGCATATAGGCTCGATGGGCCGGGTGTTAATTGTTATTTTATACAGTTTGTAAACAAAGGATTTAATTATGTACACATGTCACTATAAATAAATAAATTACTTACTTACTTACTTACATAAAAGGCATCCAGCAAAAAGAACAACTTGCGCACGCATAACGCGACGGCTACTGTGTTTGCTATACAAAAGTTTCTGTCATTTTTTGTGTCATTTAATATGTTTAAAGAGAATTGTTAATTCTTTGATCGATATTAAAGAGAATTGTTAATTCTTTAATCGATATTAAATTTATGTATATACTGAGAGTCTCTCTCTCGGAAATTTTTTAAACGTATTTATACAGACCACGCTTGGGGCTTTCAGCTATGATATGACGATGTCCTGATTTGAAAAGGTAAAATTCGTTGCTCAAAAGGGAGTGATATCGCAATTTTTAAACACTCAAAAATGATTGACTTAACAGTTTTCCATGTATAATGATATAAAGATATTTTAAGTAAAATAACAAATTAAAATGCTCTTTGCAATAGCAAAATGTTTTTTAAAAAATCTAACCCTTTTATCTACGAGTATTCAGAGGCAAAATAGTATTCAAAGTATTCCATATACATTTATGAAGTGCAAACTAGCATTCAAACTTCTTGAAATTTTGACAAAACAAACAATAATATGACTAATTATTAGTGCCCATTATAAGAAGTTTGAATGCCAGCTTGCACTTCATAAACACATGATATAATTTGAATATCATTTTGCCACTAAATACTTGTGGATAAAAGGATTTTATAAAGGATTTTAAATGTTTTTTGAAAAATATTCCTATTTCAAAGTGCATTTTAATTTGTATATGTACATAAAGTATTTCACACTTGGAAAACTGGTACGTCAAACATATTTTGTCAACTTCATAACTATGCTTTGCTGGGATGTAACTCTCAGGCCACAACAATTATAGGAGCATTAACAAAATTTGGCCACTGTTAAAATGGTTTCCACAAACAAATATTTTTTTTCCTTTAGTAGAACCTTAAAGGAATACTTGTAAATTCTCCAACTTCGACCAGATTCCATTAGTTTACGTTAAATTTTCATTTTGGATCAAAAGCTGTACGTGTTTTACTTCTGAAAACACTCTAGTTTACACCCCCGAGTATTTAAGTGTGTGTTTAAGTTGAAGGGGGGGGGGGTCTAAACGCGTTCTCGAGAAAAAGTTTTTTTGTTCTGAGTTTATACAAATAATTGATTAAACTTAACATATCTTTCATACACAGAATTAAATAAGGAATTTATTTTAATTTATGTGACTTAAATAATACCTCACAACGATTTGATTCCCATGTATTTGATGTTTTGTCCCACGCCCTACATGCTGTTGTTATGACCTGTAATGTGAAGTTAGCATCCACAGGGTCAACGGTGCTGTTTTTATTGTAGACTGACCGATTTGCGGACAAGACATGAACAGCCTCCCTCCTTGTTCGGGAAGACATGGTTTCTTGAGACCGATCTACAGTTTCATCCTCTGAACAGGAAATTTTTTTTAAAGAAGGGGGCATAAATAAAATTAAATATGCAAGACAAGTCAAGATAATACAGAGTAAATGTGAATTTTTTTCATTATGCTACTAGTATTACAAATGTTACTTGATGAATGTTTTACCTTTCAGAGGTTTGATACCCATATAGCAGACACCTTTAAGACAAAAACCATTAGGAACAAATATTTTATATCCTAGTTCAGTGTCCCAATTTCTGATAGCGGTTTCGGTTTGATAATCTCGGCCAGGCCTGAATGACGTAGTGGTTGGAAAAGGTTTTGGCGATATGAACAGCCTATACAGGAGCCTTTCTGAGGAGATGTCTTCCAGAAAATTGTGAGGTTTTATGTAAATGAGGATTGCATCATCATCATTCATTACGTCAAAGTAAAAATGAGTTATCAACTCGCCTATACTCGGACTGTATAAAGGACTAAAATCGTAAGGCTGGGGCTTTCCTCGATTACGTAATTTGACGTCCATCACAGTTTCATCTCCAAAATCGTACACGAACACATCTGATGTCAAACTGCTAGCATTTTCCCCGAATATTAAAGGATTCTTCCCAAAGACAATAATCTGAAAATTGACATACTCCAGTACACCAAATAATTATATTTCTTAGGACAAGAAGTCAAGGGACCAAACAGAAAGATGTTTCTTTAATAATTTGGAACAGCATATTTGTGTACTAGATTTCACTTTATTATGCAAAATAAATTTAAGAATATTCAAAAAGTCCGTTTTCTGAAATGGGTCAGTTGCTTGCTCAATTTTTTCGAGGAAAAAAAATTACCTTTACTTCCACGATGGAATTAAGATTTACTGAACTGTTCCCATGTGTTATACCAAGAATATACTTTTGAAGTTTCGTATTGTTCACGTTAGCTTTTTTAAATTCAGTATAAGTTGTTTTTTGGACTATAAGCTTAAGGTATGGCTGGTGGAACTCCATCTTTTCCCCAGTGACAAGAGTAGTAAGTAGCGTAGCTTGAACATGTGTCAACATGCCTTGTATTCTTTTATAATACGTTTCCGACTGGAAAAAAAATCATGGGCAATTAATTTTGTGAAACAAAAAGAAAAAGATTCGAGAAAAGCAGCAAAAATTCCGTTATCAAAAGCAAGCTGAAAGGGAAACAAATCAGAATTCAAAGTACGATAAATGCAATTATTCATTGACTACTTTGAAATGAAATCTATCCATATCTTTAAAATATTTTTTTCTTGTTTTTCTTTTTAGTAACAACATAAAATATACAGTATATGAATTTTGCCGGCTTAGACTCCATATAAATTACAACCTTACTCTTCTTATATATAACTAATATTTTTGTACAATAACGTTGGCCTGGACAGAATTGATAAAATCAGGCATACTGTCAGGTTGATAACCATACTTAAACTAAAATGTCTTTGAGAAGACAATAACGTGAACGAGCACTTACCATGTTTATCTGTTTGGATTGTATATCTCTTTCATGCTCTCTCAATTGCAGGATAAGATAGCTTTTTTGTATTAGGTCATTCAGCTCTCCTTCTGTTAAGTTCCTGTTGATAAGCTCTAACTGTCTATCGGATCGGAACTTCTTTGTTTTTAGTTCATTCAAAATATTTTCTTGGGATAGTTCTTCGCTGAAATCCTGCAGGTTCTCTGGCAGCATGACATCCACAATGATGTTGACAACTCGCACAATATCTTCATCAATAGCATAATTGAATAAAAGTGCTGGTATTTTGTCAAGCTATATATACTTAGTAAATCTTATCAATGCATTTAACCAAGAAAAGAACAATTCTTATCTGTTCTTAACTTCCCAATCTCTACTGACAGGTATCCCGTGCATTATGAAGAGACCCATGTATTCGAGAAACCAAAAAAATATAATCAACCTCTACTTTTTATAGACTCATTCCCTGTTTTGGTGTCAATAACTGGCTTGTAACAGACTCAAAATACAAAGAAAATAATGGATTCGTAATACTAGTAGTTATCTGAAACACATTTTAATTTGGCTTCTTTTTCCTTTAGATACTGACTGTAAAAGCTGTACGATCCAATTTTTTATCATAAAAATATGATTTACCGTCATCATTCATTTACATTTCAAAAGTTTCTCACATTCCAAAAATTACACAATCTAGTTCGTATCTGTTCCCGAGAAAAAGAAAGTAGAAGATTATAAAAATTATAATTGTGGTTCCACAACTTATACAACGACTTTTGATAATGCACATTTCGCTTCAGTCGTAAGCATACGATTTCAAGAGTGTATATTAGGAATTGTAGTTATTTTGACGGAATCGGGACACAAGAAAAGAAGACCAGTGGTCAAACGGTCTACTTAATTGAATAAACCAAAATATTTGAACATGGCATGAGGTAAATATGTCGTTAAACTATGATATTCTATACAGTAAACAAACCCCCGTGTTTCACCTCGTCATATTATCGAAAGGTCACGCGATCGTTCTAGAAAGTAGCTGCAGAACTAGAGCTCCGAAAAAAAAATGACAGACCAGAAAGTTAATTACAGTGCCACCCATTGAAAAAAGTGTATATATCTATTGCGAGTAAAAAGTGCGCTGTGTCTCGATTTATTTCTCCCCTTTTTTTTAAACTTTCATCTCAGAATATTACTAACCGTGTGTTCCGAACATATTCTTTTACTATTTCCACGACAAAAAATTCCTTATTACTGTTGTTAATAGCCCTCCTGGGCCTGAAATTGAGACCATCCAAAAAATCGCCTCTTTATACTTCCATTTTGGGTGGCAAGATAATTCGGTCCAACGTGACTTTGTTCAGATGTAATCTACTAGGTCTAAGAAATTTATTGAAATCGAGCTTCTGTGCATTTAAGGTAAGATTTCGGATAAATTTATCCATAACCGTGAGGAATTTTTTGTACACAATAAATATAGTTTTTCTATGGGTGGCACTGCACCTTTCTGGTCATTCATTTCAATTTTTTCAGACAAGCGAGCTACAGATCTGCAGCTATCTAGAAAAAATGAATATTCTTGAGTTTTTGTTTGTAAGCAAAGAATTATTTCTTTAATGACAACTTATGGGACATGAATATTTTTCGTCCTTTGAACATATGATGAACACACCTAGACGATTATAATACTTTAACGCTAGCGGACCATACAGCTTTAATTTAGCATCTTTGTTAAAAGGGTATAAGAAATATTATAGGCATTATTATAGTTTGAAACAGTATTTGCGACAAAATGTACAAAATTTATTGATAAAAGATTATTTGCCTTACGTTTTGTGATTTCTTCAATAGTATGAACGTAGTAATTTGGAAAAGGGATTTCCGTTTCATCAATTCGGATGGTAAAGCACCTTATCATATCTTCTACAAGTACTATCAATTTTTCCTGAAAGCAAGAATTATCATGATATCATGCAATGAACTTTTCATAAGTGTTCAATTTTAGTATGAACAATTCGATAATAATATCACTGTATGCTTTGAGTTCTAGAACTTACTAGTGTTTCAAAAGACAGATATGATGGATTTCTAACCACTGCGTCAATTGAACTAAAGATCTGGTGGATGTCTGTCAAGCTAAATTTTTTATAAGTCCACTTAGAGCAGGTTTTGCCTTCCTCTGATAATACTACAATCATTTGATGAATAATCTGAAAAAAAAACCAGTTTTATTCATATGAAATAAAAGCAAAACATGTGTATTAAATATAGACATATTGATTGCAGTAAAATCAGCATGGAATGATTTTTTTTGAGACTATATTCAGGCTAGAAGTGAAAAAATAGAGGGAGTAAACCTACTAATTGTCTTAAAATAAACTGCATTCTTTCTTGTGTATCCTTATGTAAATAGAAAAACAAAATTAAAGAGGAGGAGGAGGATATAATATCAGTATTCACCTCATTTATTTGATCTCTCTCTCTCTCTCTCTCTCTCTCCTAGGTTACATATACCAAAAAAATTCAATATTATTTAAAAATCCTGTGGACTGACAGACAGAGGGAAATTAAATTACAGATTTAATAATAAAAAGGGTCCCCCAGTTTCCTTTACAGATGTAACCATTGAAATGATTAGAGAAAAAAAAGATTTAGTGACACAACGGCAGGTCGGGTTAGTTTCTGAATATTTAAGTTCCTTCTAAACAAAATATTCTTTACATACTTTTTTTAACCAATGTATGAAGTATCTCGTTGTATTTCGGAAGATAAAAAACATTTTTAATTACTGAAGTAATTTCTGTTTGTATAGTACATGAAAACATGTGTTAGCTTGTAAACGGTGGTCCTCATCATTTCAAAAAGCTCATCCTAAAACAGTACTAAAACACACATTTTTTTTAAAAAAAAAATTGTATTGCGTCTTTACCCTATTTTCATGTTTATTTCTTGAGGTAGGAATATGTCAGAGAGGAGGTATCAATAATTTAAACTCCCTTTTGCAGGAGTAAATCTTCATGCAAAAAAGTAACGCTGTATATTATGTAAAGTTTTTTTTATTTTATACTACATCTCATCAAAAAGAAAAATTGCTATAAATTGAATATTATATTTTGAAACCATTGCCAGCATTGATTTTTTAACTTTGTTATAAAAAAAATGGTTTAAACAGTATTTCAATGCTAAAAGGACAATCCTCTGAATACAAATATTTAAACTGAAAAAAACTCACATCCTTGTATAATTTCTCAGCGTCGGAATCTTTGTAAAAAGTCACTGATGTTTTTGTTCCATCCAGGATCTCCTTCTCAGTTGTAACAGAAATATTCTGTAAATATAGAAAAAAAATCTAACATTAAATATTTCACATAAAAAAACATACATTAATTAATAATCACCGTTAAGGGAGACACAATTAGATAAATCCTGAGTGAATGCTTTCCAATAGTTCTGGAAGATTATATTTTTCAGGCCTGGATTTATTTTGCTATTTCTAAAGGGTGTTCCCATTTCGCCTTAACTGTGAAATATGTGTAAGAAAATGTGAAAATTCTAAGGCGAAATGGGAATTTGATTATTCCTTTGTAAAAACAATAACTGTAAATTAATTAGATGTTTGTTTTACCGATAACTTAATTACAGTTTAAAAAGATGTAATTTTTTTATATATATATATATTTTTTTTTTTTTTTTGCTTAGAGTCTATTGACTTCACTTTTTTCATAATTTTTTTTCAGGTTTTGTATCATTTTGCATAATTTTCACAAAAATCACTCATTTTCACTGTGAGCAAATAATTTGAAATCATTGAAATTTTTGCTATGCAATGCAAACAATACTTATACGCATAATTATATGTTTACACAAGTTCCTATTTCGCCTTAATAAATCCCAGAAGGTACTAAAGCGAAATGGGAATAGCAAATTTTACAGTTAGGGCGAAATGGGAACAAACCTTTCTACGCCACATCTATTTTGAAATGGGGCATTACCTTTGACAAAACTCATGGCCATTGTTACATTGTTACACTGAACTGATAAAATGTCTCATATCTCAAACAAATGGTCAGAAAAATTAGTACACATGCTAATCTTCTTCGAAATTCAAAGCCAGCATTCTATATTACAATCAGTAACAAAAGCAACTGTGATATTCAGGAAAAAACATAAGAAAAATCAGGCCAAAAAAATTACTTAAATTTGCATAATAAATTTTTACCTGTTTGTAAGGTAATAAAGTAGACGCAATTGAGCCGATGTAACGAAATGTACGGATGACATCGCCTCCTCTTCTAATAAACTCAACCGTCATGTTAAATTCTTGATAAAGATTTAAAACTGGTTCTTTGTCGTGACCACCATACGGAATGGATTTAGTTGGTGTTGAAACAGACTGTTGTGTTATAAAAGAAAGATTTTCAAGAGATATTTAACACAAATTGAAGAAAATTCCTGCATCAACCTTTCCCTAGCAAAAATTTACTATGCTATAGTTAACTATAGTTTACTATAGTTAACTATAATTTACTGTAGTTAACTATTGTAAATACTTTTGATACTTTGATTTACTATGAAACTTTACACTAGAATTTCTTTAAGAATTAGAGTTTTAATAATTCTTAAATAACATGCCAGTCATGTTGTTTTGGAAAATATTAGGTGAATATGCAAGTAATAAGTCCCTTTAATAAAAGAAAATGGAATGTAGGAAATTTAGAACACTACAATTGGAAATTCATAGAACAATGCTTTAACTTCAGTAAAAACTTTGATTTACTATATTAAAAACTGATACTATAGTATACCATAATTATCTATAGTGAACTATGATTAACTAAGGTATTTTTTTTTAGAGTTGTACATGTATGTATGTCTTAAATTCTTTATCCGTGTCCCTGTGAGTAAAACTTACGTATGTTTGCTCAAATGCCTTGAAATAATCATCATGTTCGTTATACACTCTGACGCGAAAGGTAACACTACTGTTAAACTGAGAATCCCCAACTTGGATTGGGGTCTCAAGTATAGAACCCTCGTCTGAAATAAGAATAGACATTATCATAAAACAATATATAGAAATGCTGTACATGATGAAAAATAGAACCCTTGTCTAAAATAAAAAAAAACGTTCGACATTATCAAAAATTAAACCTCCATCTTAATTTTTTTTTTTTTTTTTAAAAATCGAAGCTACTTAAGTGAACTGAAAATTAATTTATTTCCTTTTAAATGTTAAGAGCAGCAAGCAAGTCATTAAATAATATTAAAATATTTGCAATAGATGATTCAACATTCTAGCCAAACAGCTACAAATCCACCACAATTAATCATCAAAATAATAGGTCGATTTCTCAGTCATATTGACAATGCCCTGTTAAACAATCATTGACAAAACAAAATTCATTTTTTTCTGACAATCTCATCAGATATTTTTGAAAACAAAAAGTTATATACTTGGCTTGTTTACGTACAAAAAAAATACAGTTATCTTACTACATTTCATTGAGACTTGAAACAGAAATTCCCCCAGTCAATGTCAAAATAATGCTCATCTAAATTATCTTGGTACAATATTACTTACATCCTTTGTAAAGATAATTTACGATGTCCTCGATGTCTCCATATGCGGTTTTCCTCTTGGTAATTGTTTCGAATAGGTAAGCCAACACAGGATATGTCTCAGGTTTCCAGTTCGTACAGTTAGCACTGATTGCAAGTTTATCTAGATTGATTTTGGATTATGTAAGTGTATCGATTTCATTTGTAGAGTTTGACAATTTTACAACTTCGTATCAATTTTTCTGAAGAGGAACAATTAATTTCACAATTCAACAGAATCAGCAAGATTTCAGCTTAAGTACAGTTGTTATAAAATGTAAGTATAAAAATTTAGGGCGTACTGTCCACTGCCATTTTTTCAGACTGATGTTTAACACAATTAACACAAACGGGTTAGAGAAAAGTAATTTTTAGCCGGGCTTTGCTGAAAGCAAAGTCCTGGCTGTAGGCATCGTGATCGACTGCCTTACTATAAATAGCACATGTTCAGAAAAGTAAACAAAAAGCCTAACAGCGTCAAAGCAGACGCTTCCGATAAACAAAATAGTCACACTGAAAGACGATACTTAAACAAATATTTTTTACATCTCAATCTACGGAATTGTTAATTGATCAATATTTTTGTTTGAGAATTAAATTGAAAGAGGAATTAGATATTTACTTTATTAGGGTAATCGTGATATAACAATTTGTGCACATACGCTTCTGATTGCATATTGTAAGCGAACTATTTTCAATAAGCGCGGGCTTTTCGACAGGTTGCCTATATTTCATATCGTTTTCGTCGATGTTATGTGAGTGGTTATATTCTCTGTTTTGTCTTTCAGCAAATAAATAGATAAGTAAATTGGAGTTTAAAGAATTAATTAATGTGCGTTATGCCTGAATTAGGTCGCCTGACAATTGTACATGGTGTATCTGGTGTATCTAGTCGGCGATAGAAGTACTGTTTGTTTGAAACTTTAAGAATATCTCTAAAAATATGTGCATTTCTTTAACTATGAATTACATAAATTATTAAACCAATATGAATATAATTTTTTTAAATTAATTTCTAATTCAAATATATCTAAAAAAAAAATCAGCAAACCATATGGTTCAACATTCTTTTAAAAAAAAGTTTGGCAATTGACAGACAAACATTTTTTGTAAAAAATTAATTGTTTTCTTAAAAGTTAAAATTAGTGACCTTAAATGTTTAAATTAGTGACATTAAATAAAACAAATGACTTATATATTCTCCTCACTAGCCATATGTTATTGGTAGAATTTAAAAAAAATTGTATGACATTTTTTGTTCGTTTACTGATATTATAGTATAATTAGTCTGAATTTACGTCCGTGATGCATGTATAAACAGTAAGCTCACTGACAATGTCGTGATATCTGTAATTGTTTTTTTAAGATCAGTATAGCATTAAGGTGTCTTGAATGGCAAGAAATTTAATGTAATAATGAATTTTAAAAACATCGGTGGTCATTTATCAGATGTAATTTGGTACGATACCGTGTTAATTTCTGCTGATATTTTCAGGGTTGATCTTGTGAAAACGGCTTAACAGGAGACAATTTATTAAATTTTTCCTTTCAAAATAATTGCAAAAAGATGATGATTTTATGATTATATTAACGGCATAAAATGACAGCGAACACCGACTACTTGCAGCAAACAAGTGCGCCGCCATTACGAATTCGTAAAACAAAGAGACAGTTACGGATACTCGTAATTTTCTGAAAAAAAAAATGTGTAGGAGGTCAGTCGGGTATAACCGGAAACAAACAATTTTTTTTAGCCTAATGATGTATGTATGTAAATATTCATGAAGATTAATCTTACAGTTGTAATACTGGTAATGCTGTAATGTTTTCAATATATTACTACTCAAATAAATAAGTTAAAATTTGAATGCGTTTAAAGAAAAGGGTTTGAAAATACGGTATTACTTCGATAACCCTGAATGCAATTAAAATAACTTTCTCCTTTCTAATAAATAATTTCGAAAAAAAATCCTTATGATGGTTAAGATCTTGTGTTTGTTTGTATGTTGTTTAACGTCCCTCTCGAGAATTTTTTCACTCATATGGAGACACTACCACTTGCCGGTGGAGAGCTCCAAATTTTGTCCTATACTCGGCACTTACGGCCATTGAGCAGTGAGGGATCTTTTTCGTGCAAGCACCTATTGCGACACGGGACCTCGGTTTATACGGTCTCAACGGAAGGACCGGTCTCCACGTCCCACAGTGGGATTCGAACCCGCGACGTAAGGATTAACTCCTTACTTCGCGACTCTAGAGCAGACGCTCTTACCACTGCGCCACGCGAGCGACTAAGATCTTGTGTAAAGGTGATGTAAATGAAGTTCAAAACTATTTGTTTTCTTTCATAATATGAAATAAACAATGCCATTCCATTTGGTTAATATTTTAATTTAATAGTATTAATTTAAATGACTGGGATAAAGATTTATATTCTGTGAAGCATGGAATATAAATAAATAAAAATGTAAACTTTAAGATAGAAATTTCACGTGAATATGTTTATGTATAATATATAAATTATTTATACCCATTTAACAATCAATTTAGCGTCGAAAATTTTTATGCTTACAAATTCAGATCAAATTTTTAGTGAAAAGTCAATGGTATGTTTTGAATGTGAAAATTTTGTTCGAGACTTCTCACCTTGGATTCATCTCGTATGTGCTCCCAAAGCGCTTTACAGTATATTGAGCGTGCGCGCGCATTCCAAAAAAAAAAAAGGTCTTAAAACACATGCAAGCTCTCAAGGGTGCTCGGAAATAAAATTCGTTTATGTTAATATATAATTAAAAGAAAACAACATATAAAAATGTTCATTAGTCTTTATCTAAGTACAACACATTATAATTTTTCAGAAAAAGTTGGTTAGTCTTTGCTTCAAAACTTCCTGTTCAGAATGAAGAGCCATCTATGTACGAGCCATAAAGACCTGAATACATCATGATTTTCTCAGGCAATGACCATTATGGCCGAACCTAGAACTAGAACTAGACTCATATTCATGTCATAAAGATTAGATAATTATAATTTTCGTGCAGCTGGTTTCCTAGAGGACCAAAAATAAAGAATATTTCTTTTCTGATTAATACAGGCATGTAGTATCATTATCAGAAAAAAGGAGAATTGTCCAAACCCGAAAATCCTATTCCGTTGGAGAAGGAGTAGGGGTGGGCTACAACTTACTTTCACATTTCGAATTTCATTAATTCATTATCAAATTACCGTACTTTTAATATGCTACAATAAAATGATGGTACAATCTAATTAAAATTAGACTATATCCATTTTGCTTTTAGTAAATCTGTTCGTCGCTCGTGATAAATACCTGGTTTATATTACGAAGAGTGAGATGAAAGTTCCAATTTAAATTTGATTGCGAAGAGTCAATCAACCTTTCAATGTACATTGTCCATTGTAAAAGTTTATTTTTGAAAAATGGTGACACCCCTAGCTCCTCCGATACTATATATGTGCCTGTATGAATCAGCAAAACCACTCAAAGTGCACTGTTACCATGCATAACCATTGTGAGCTTAATGTTTAGAAAGGTATAAATGTATTTTGATGAAAAATATCACCAAGTCCTATCCTGGGGTCTTAACGTTGGGTTCTGGACCGTAAATTATTGGTAGATGGGTTATTGTTAATCATAATCATACAAACTCTACCTGTTAAATATCAATGGTCAGAAAGAAAGATTTTCAAATATGTACTAATTTAGGATTAGACAATACACTCGAACATATTAAAGCCCGGCTTTCAGTACTTTCAGTACTTTGATTATTTAGGTAATTGGTACTTCTTTCTATATACACAATTCTTTCAAGGAAAGAAAAAAGAGGACTGATAAGTTAAAGAAGTATTATGTTGAAAATTTAACTTTACTTGATGGAGGTAAAAAGTAAAATCAAACAGTCACGACATGATAAAGCCCCAGTAACAGTATGTCACAATATATAAAGAAGAAGTGGCAGGCTCTTGGTGTCTTTTATTTCGAATTCATCTTTTTTTATTTATCTTTCATTTAAATTTATAAGAAAAAATTGCTAAAGACAATACACAATTCACGCTTAATACGATAGCCTTTCATCTTTTGAGATTTAAAAGAATTTATTAAACAAATTACACGTTTCTGAAATATAGAAATATGGAATACAATTCAAGTTCAAGGTTCCGAAATCATCAGTCTGGTACATGTACAGTGTATATCTAAAATTAAGGCCTTGTGAAAGGAACTGTTCATATTAGTAATCAAAGTCTTGCCGCACTCAATTTAAAAAAGAAATACAGAGTGTGATAGACCAACAGCAATGAAATTTTTGCTTTATATAAAAACAAAAAAAAAAAATTCATTTGAAGTAATTAATATCAGCATTTGAATTTATCAAGTTTTTAATTTACCTTTGAAATAAACAGTTGTACATGTTACGTTTTGAAGGATTGTATCTTGCCTGGTCCTGAAAGGCATGGTTAAGGTATGATTACTGGTCTCATTTTGTTTGACAGCTGTCAATAAGAGTGTATAATTTCTGCCTGGTGTCAATATATTTCCTTCCAAGGCAAAAGCTGGACCGTCAATACCTTCAATTAGTCCAAAATACTATGTAACAATAACAAGTAGAATTTAATAACTAAATCGTCCTCCGACCATTGATTCATAATACAGTTATTGTATATAATGTGTTCCTGAACTCTGACCTGTTATTGTCATATTATTAGTATTTAAATCCAAATGTAGATTCTCTTCAAGTAGTGACCAGTGAAAATCAAGAGAGAAGTTATTACGCAAACAGGAATCGCATTGACTCGAAACAGCAAGCTTTGTTTGTGTCGATACCGTCTTCATGCAATTAACAATACATCTATAATATAAAATATTTATCCGAGAATATCCCACTGTTTTGAAACACGAGTAACAAAATAAGATAAATAATAATCTACTTCTCTCAGTAAAAAAAAAAAAAAACTTACTTGATACTGGAAATTGTGATGTCTTCAGTTATTTCTTTCACCTGAACATTCTGAGTAAAGTCATCATTTCTAGTGCCTTTTTGGACAGTTAGAGTAATGTCATAGTTACCTGGACTTTTAAATTCATGTGAAATGCTTCTTGCATATGCATTTGTCAGATTACTGAAAACAAAGACATACAAAATGTCAAGACATAATTAACCATTGGATTCTAAAACTGATGTCCTTATACGATTTATTTTTATTATCTATAGTTTTAATTTCAAAACTGGATTAATAAATTCTCCGGTTTATTATGCTATTATACACAAGTCAGCGAGGAAATCATACCTGCCAATGGCCCATCTGTACGTAACGTTACTATTCGAGTAATTTTTCGCATGGAAAAAAATAGTCTTCTTTACAAAAACTTTCCGTACACTGCCACCGTCGATATATGCAAACGGAGAAGAAGAAATTATTTTAACGTTCATTGGCTCAGTGATATATGTCCTCAAACTCGGAATAGATATATTTAAGGATACTTCATAGGCTCCTAGTGGGAGAATACTGGCATTAAACATGCACACTCCTTCTCTTTCGATTAACGATGAGCAATTTTCCCAGCCAAAGGTGATGTCTGTCCCAGGACAAAAAATGCTCATTCTATTGGCAATATACACCTCACTGGAATCAAATACTGACATTTTTTTACTCTGCATAGAAAACTGCCTATCAAATATCCCTTCGTCCCCATAACAAACATTTATCACCCTCACATCCAAATGCAGATCAACATTTGAGATAAAATTATGACATTTAGCATCGATTGTTTGATTTCCAAGATCGTAATACGTATGGTAAACAATTAAAGGGCGATTTATGGTTATATTGTGAAGTTGGGTATAGTCAACACGTTTTACTTCATCTCCAGTGTTTATGGAACAGTTTATCAGTGGTCGAGTGCTGTTCTTCAAATGTGGAGATATCCCAATCAAAATGCTGATGTTTCCTGGAGGTAACGGCACTGTTTGGTTCCTTTTTTCTGCACTAGTTTGCAGTTCTATCTCTTTTTCAAGGTCATAATCTGCAATAATGTAATCATCTAGGTAAATTTCTTCTGCGAACTTGTTATTGTGTCCAATAAATTTCGGCATCTTAAATCCATATTCTGTATAGTTTATCTGAATCTGATCTCTCGTTTTGTTTCTATTATCTTCCGTAATCATGGTACTGTTCTC